AGGGACATGGGACATGAGACACCAACAAACTACCTGCCCATTAGGTTCGATCCAAGGACCTTTGCTTGTATTTTGCAAGCGCTCTACCATCTGAGCTAATGTGGAACCTGGTTAGAAGTCACGTATTCTTTAATTTAGCTTTACGTGGTTAATAGAAAACTGAGTGGTTATAGCATATTAATGTATACTTTGTTATTGTGGGGTATTTTGTTAAATTATGCTAATTCATTCCTAATACAATACTTCTTCACATCTTCTGGTGTGTAATATTACGGCTCCCCGGTGATAATTTACGTGCTGGGGTATTTTTTATTTTTTGAAAAGTTGGGATATTTTTTTATATATGGCAAAAGTTGGGGTATTTTTTTATTCTCTCTATTATATTATATCTGAAATGAGTTATTTGATAGTAAAGTGTGTTTTCGGCTTATGAAGAGACCCCTGGGTCACTTCCTTAGGAAGTACGGTCTGCGCGTGAGCTGTCCAACGCTTTGCATACCCGAAGCTTCGACAAAAAAAACCGCTAAGCAAACGCGTAGAAGTTGGGCTCTTTCGTTCCAAACATCAAAAGTCTCCAATCAAGTTAAAACTTTGACTTGATTTGCTCCCTGAAGAGGTACATGTATTTGAGATATGATCTATTGAAACAGACTCTGCATAAATTTATAAATAGTGTCCTTGTTACTCGGTAATCGGCTAGTAAGTAGTCCACGTGTACCACGAAATTGTTCGGTGCAAAAAAACCTCATTGTTCAAGAAAATACAGATATATTGGTACTTTTTAATCGACGTTTTCAAAGTATTACTCGGTAATGAGGCCAACCGATTCCTAGCTTAAGTGGTTTGTAGCTTGGTCTGGGACCGGGAGATACCTGGCTCGATACTTATAGGATCCGAATCAAGAAGACGATAGATATTTAACTAAAGTGGACGAGCAATCACACCTCTGTGGTGTGACCGCCCTGCCAACCAGCACTCAAATCGGTGTGTGGGAGGAGGCCCCACTGACCGAAAAAGCCCCGTATTGTAATAAGGGGTACGGAAATTGGTCGCAAAATGGATCGGATGGCTACACGCGTCTCGCGCTAGAGAAAGCATAATCCTAGCATGTGGGTTCCGGCAGCCTGAATAAATCTCTCGGTAAGGTGGCAAAAAAGATTCCTGCTACAAACGGTTGCAACGGCTTTCTGAGTCGTAACAACACACCGCTCCCACATCTGAAGACACATAGCTAAGCTATGCATCAAGTCAGCAGCACTCATTGAGCTCCGCCACCAATACACAAATTGTAATCTCTGTGCCCGTTTTTAACGGCGAGTAGTATTGCGCCACCCTGCCGTGGAACTCACAGTGACATCCAGCTCATCCCCGACAAGCTAAACCTGGCTCAGGAAGCCCGGATTGCTCCTCTGCAAGCGTAAAAGTCACGCCAGCTCTATTCGAATTCATCGCTTTACTTTGAACTGTGTGAGCCTGAAAGTCGCGCCGTGGCGGCTAACATGCCTATATGTGCGGGCCTGCTACTCACATTCAAAGTAAAATGAGCGCCCGCAAGAGCTTCACCAACACATTCTAAATTCTACATTTCTTGCTGCTTATAGCTATCTCCATCTCCACAAATAATTGCTTAGCTACCGATACAGTATCGAACACGCAGCAAGGTCGATCCCTTCTCACTTGTGCGAAGTGCGCTACAACTACCTTTTCTCTAGCGGAGATTGATTTCGTGTACGGTAGGGCAATAACAGCAACGGTACCAGGGCAATTCCGCCGAAGTGAGACCTCAAACTTCCAAGAGGTACTTATCTTCTTTCTTTCACCAAATACTGGCTACGGCTCTAGTGTAACCATCGGTCTACTTACCGTTTGACTTGAACTTAATACCTCTTTACTCATTAAGCAGTGCCGACGGAGGAAAACCCTACCGCGACTAGACCACGAGAGTTATTTTGGTTGTGGCGGCACGACGACGCTGTTCAAGAGCCTCAGCTAGCGTCGGAAACTGGGATGGGTCGGATCTTGAATGCGCTACCTGCGCTGCTCAATTTTCACTGCCTGGTTTGAGAGAATCAAAAAGGTGTCGCTGCTATTGAGCTGAAGGTCGATCAGCTACAAGGCATCGCAGAGACGCTGCTCATTGTTCAGCAAAGAGCCTTACACATTATAGCTCGTGAGAGTAAGGTCCTTATTGGGCTTTTGTAAGCCCGCCTCTAATACGAATGGTTTCAGATTCTTGTCGGGATGGATGTAAGTGCATATAAAATCACTCTATGCCACAACTGTGGACGGTCCGATGTAGCGTGGTCGTAACTCAGTCTGTTACATCGCAGCAGTTGCATATTGAGGTAAGCTCCAAGAGGTGCAGACGAAGAATGTACGTGGTAAGAGAGGCAAGATGAAGAAAATGAAGAAAAAGTACGCTGATCAGGATGACGAAGATCGTCGCTTGCTTACGGAAGTATTGAGTCACGTTGTTGAGCAAGAAGGCAAAAGATATCAGTAGCTACTGAAGAAAGTAATGACGATAGGCGAGTTTGTCACTTGAAAGAAGAGAAGAACATTAATCGTTCAATGAGTGATGCTCACGATCATTGTCAGCCGGACGTAAACCCAGTCGTCGTACAGCGTGAGCACATGCGTTGCATTTCAGAGAACGAGCTCATTAATTGCAAGGTTGGTCTTGCTAAGATCTTAACGCTGGGTATGCATAGTTTCAATGCAAAGTTAGAGTTAAGTGGTTATCAAAAAAGGCAAAGAAAAATGGTTCAGCATTAATTTTTTGGATACCTTAAATTGATCGATACCCTGTAGCTAATTAAGAGTCAAAATTCACTCTTCTCTCTTTCTCTTCAGTGTGACTGAATTCGTGGCCTCTGCAAAGTCTAGTGTATCATATTCCTACAATATGCAAACAAGATGACTTTGACAATTTGCAAACAAGTTGACTTTAAAGGCCTTACCTCGAATTTATCTTCGTTTATCGTTTCTATATGATTGATCATGTCGGACGCTAAATCATGAATATAATCCCTCATAAGATATTCCCTGGTCAATGCTTCCTCATCACTTTCTTTTTGCCACAGTTTGAAGATACGATTCTGACAAAATATACACGATGAGTATAAAAGAATACAGTGCACATAAAGACCTAGCGACGGCATCCTTACTTAAGCAACTCACCAAGTCTTTAAAACCAGTCATATCCATCTCCTCTTGATGCCCAACCCTCCTCAACCATGTGTTAAATAGCTCCAATTGCATGTCCATGGTATATTGCTTCTTGGCAGACAAAAATGCTACGATATCGAGATCTTCTACGTCTGAACAACTGAAAGTATAGGCGACATAAGACAACCACGTCTCAGACAGCGAGCTGCCAGTAAAAGTTTCTGCGAAGTGTATGAGGCCATCGAGTCCATTTTGTTCCATGGCATACGCCATATTTTGGAGCCTCACGTTATTCAGCAAGATCCTCTGCAATTCTTCGACAGCCTTTTGTCCGCCCACATAATTTCTTGCTTCCTCAACCAAATTAACAACTTCTTTTTCCTTCAATTCGGACCGTTCGATAAGACCAAGTACATCGATAGGGGAAAACTCGCTGTGCCCATGCTCCCAGCAATATCCGACGTACGATAGCCACAAGCTTCCCATCTCATCCATGAAGAATTTGTCGTTTTTTTTTTTTACGTGTATGAGTAAGAAGTTATAAGCTTGGCCAACAGTAACTTGGTCTTTGACCCATTGCTCGCGGGCCAATTTACCTGAAGTCGGGTGTTGAAGCATGCCGACGAACGCTAAATCACCGTTAATCCTATCATCTTGATTATGTGATCTCTGACACGTCTGAATCAACAAAAGCAGCTCGCTGTCGTCCTCCGCACTTCGTTTTTTGTCTTTCGAAAGATCATTTAACCTTTTTCTGTCTATATGTTCATTGTCCATCATTGTTACGGCGCCGTCTCTTTCGTAAATAATATATTTCTTAGAAGGTACTTCCCAGTCGACCTGTTCTTTGCCCCGACGCATGTTTTGAAGCTTCTTTGTATTTGAGTCAGTAAATAGCACCAATTGTCCACTCAAAGGTTCAAATGCTTTCGCTAAGTTATGCAAACTTTCGCGAAAATCAGAGAGAACGCTTTCAACTGAAGGTCCTATCGCTTTCTTCAAGCGATGCAAGCTATCGCAAAAGTTACGGACACCGCTCATCACCGAGGATCTCACTTCATCTGATATATTTTCATCTGAAAGCACTTTATCCTCCAAGGCCAGCAGATTGCTGACAAAAGAACCGGTGCTTTCCTGAATCGGAAATCCCTCAATTTTTTCAACCTCCTTCATAGTGTTGAGAGCTTTTGAGATCGAGCTTGCTGTCGTCGGATTTCTAGTCGCATACTCAATCTGAGATAGAAATTCGTATAGGGAAGAGAAAACGGCGTGATAATCAGAATTCCTTTCTTCTTTGTCGCTGGTTTCAATGTCGAGAATGGACTTTTCAGATTCATTATAAATCGGCAACACATCTTGAAATTCTGCCGAGATATTGTGCGTCAAGGCTCTACGGCCGATCGGATCACGATCATTGACTTGACCCACAGCCCAATTACACGTAAAGCAAAGCGTGACACCAATCAAATACTTGAGTATGGAGAATTCCTGGCACAAAGTTACGAGCATTTCTAAGTCGACCGCTCCAAGGAAATCACAATAATAAATGGCTGCAGAATAATAAGATATCAAAATTCTCATGTGTTTTTTTGTATATATAAATTGTGCAAATGAGTAACACATCATACAAAAAAACAAAATCGGAATCAGAAGTTTGCTTAGTTAGGATTAAGAGATAATAGTTTAGGACAAAAAGAATGTTCTCTTTCTCGGACCCAATTCTCGAGCTTCCTCCCTCGCCAAAAAGATTATGAGCCCAACACTACCGGATCAATGACGTTCTTCGCGACAAAACTCGTTTGCGTGGGTGCTAAACGCTCGCATAAAATTTGCGACGAAAAGACTTTTCGAGTACATTGTCGCTACAAGTCTCCGAGTGAAGACGATCCAAAGCGTACAAATAGAATGTCAGCGGTATGAAGGCCTTCGCGACGGTGTGCACGATCAACAATCCAAGTTTGCAGTCAATGGTTTGTACTGCAATTCGACTGCTTAGGCGTGGGGATTTCTAAAAAATTTCTTATTTTGACGCAGCATTCACAACCAAATCCAGATGCGCCGAGATTCACCATCAACCAGCCTCTTAACTTTGTTTTCTACTGCTTCATTGTGACTTTCGCTTCGGTGACTTATCTGCGATGTGTTACAATCAAGAAAGATGTAAGTAAAGATTCATTGCAACATATGCCTATCGCAACAAGCAAGATAAAGAAGTAGACACGAACTTCATTTCGTCATCAAAAAATACTCTGGTGCTATACATTCAATTTGATCTGGTCTGAGCGTGATAATTTTTTGTTCTGTGACCCTACAATATGCAAACAAGTTGACTTTGACGGCCTTACCTCAATCCAATGGTTTTTCTGCGAGCTTTTCTAGGTATTTGATCATCCCGTCCGCCATTCCATGAAGCAAAAATCTCATACGAGTTTGCCTGATCGAAGCATCCGTATCACTTTCTTGTTTCCACAGTACGAAGGTTGTATCCTGACAAAATAATCACAATGAGTAAAGAGAATATAGTACGTATAAAAACCAAGCGACGGGATCCTTATCTCAGCGACTCACCGAAAATGAAACGTCTTGTGTATTCTCGACATCTTCAAAAGTCGACAATATCTTTTTGAATATTTTCAAACACTCTTCAGCATTAAGGTGCTGTAAAGTAACCATGGCGACTACAATATCCCAACTCTCTATGGACTTCTGTCGTAAAGCGAAGGCGGCATAAGAGAACCACGTCTCAGACAGCAAGTTGCCAGTAAAAGTTTTTGCGAAGTGTATGAGGCCATCGACTCCAGCTCGTTCCATGGCATACGCCATATGTTGGAGCCTCAAGTGATTTAACAAGATCCTCTGCAATTCATCGACAGCCTTTTGTCCGCCCACATATTTCCTTGCTTTCAGAACCAAATTGACGACTTTTATTTCCGCCAATTCGAATTGTTGGAAAAGTCGATAGGAGAAAACTCGCTGTGCCCATGCTCCCAACAATATCCAACGTACGATAGCCACAAGCTTCCCAATTCATTCTCGAAGAAGCTGACTCCCTTTTTCGAGTATTTGCGTAAAAAGTTATGGGCTTGGGAAACAGTAACTTGGTCTTTGACCCATTGCTCGCGGGCCAATTTACCTGAAGTCGGGTTTTGAAGCATGCGGATCAACGCTACGTCACCCCAGATCCTATCATTTGTATACTGTGATCTTTGGAATTTCTGAATCAACAAAAGTAGCTCGCTGTCGTCTTCCGCACTTCGTTTTTCGGAATGCACAAGATCACGTAACCTATATCTGTCGATATGTTCATTGTCCATCATTATCACATCGTCGTCTGTATCGTAAATAATGTGACCACTGCTGTGCTTGCCACCGTTTGGAAAAGGTGATTTCGCATGGGACGATTTTGTGCCCCGATCTATCATCTTAAGTTCGGTGTCAGTATGCGGCACAAAGCGTCCATAAAATGGTTCGAGTTTTTGCGCCAAGTCACGCAAATTTTCGCGAACATTAGAGACGAGATTCTCAATTGAAGGTCCTTTCCCTTTCTTCAAGCGCTGCAAACGCTGGAGAACGTCCGAAACAATGTCTTGTATCAAAATTTTCATTTCATCTGGTATCCTTGCATTTAATTCCACGTTATTCGCCAAGTCCCTCAGATTGTTGCCAATATAATTGGTGGTGCTTTGCACATCATGCTCCGTAAGTCTCTCAATTTTCGCCATAGTGGTGTGAGCATTTGAGATTGAATTTGTTGTATGTTCAATGTTAGATAATATGTGGTGAAAGCGAGAGAAAAAGGCTTGAAATGGAAATTCTCTTTCCTCCTTGTCGCTGATGTCAATGTCGAGCTTGAATTCTCCAGATCCATTATGAATCGGCAGCGCATCTTGAAATGGTGCCGTAATATTGTGCATCGTGACATTTTGGGCTCTAGGGTCAGTTAGATCTCGGTCGTTGACTTGGGCGACAGCCAAATTAAACGTAAAGCAAAGGGTGACACCAATCAAACACTTGTCTTGGCACAGAGTTCCGAACATTTTGAAGCTAATTGTGTCAATGAAATCACAATGATGAATGGCTGGAGTCTAAGAAGAAGATAAATTGGGTGATGTGTTTATGTATCCATAAATTGTACAGATTGTGAATATCATTTCAGCACATTATACAAAATAAAACGAAATTTCATTGACTTCAATGTTAATACTGGTCTGTAGACTGGGCTTGAAAATGGAGCAAATGCTCTTGATTTGATTGCCTGCTCTATTGTGGGTTGCAGTTTTGTCTATGCACTTGATGAATCTAATGAGTTTTTAGAAACAAAGAAGGGAATGCACTGCGCTGCAAATTTATAGCAATTGAAGCGAAGAATTCGCGCAGCCAGATTGCAAACTGTTATGATCAAAGTTTTTGAGCAACAGCATTTATAGTAAAATGCATTATGTACAACTTGGGTTATTGAGTATCAGAGCTTTTTTCTGCTTCGCAATCGCAGCTATCTTATCAAATAACCCAATAGAATATACCCAATTTTAAAATTAGTATTTAATGCAGTAGATAACTATAATTTTGCTAATTAAATATAGAAAATATTCTAAAATACTGCACTTTTACATTTTAGTAAGAAAATACTCCAATTTTAAGCTTTAATGAAGAAATCTTCGGTAAATTTCAGTATCATAAAATCAACTTAATTGAAGTTTAGAAACAAAATAAACAACGAATTTTAACAATCTGAGCCAATTACCGTTTTAATATTGCGGCTAATGACTAGTACCTTTTCACAAGGTCGGTCGCTTTCGCATTTCTATATTGTGTGGGGATATACATTTACTAAAGACACGAGCCACCGACCACTCGCTTGTGAAGCGAGCGCTTCACCACTAAGCTATGGCACTATTAGGTTTAGTAATACAATGATGTCAATAATATATATCAATGAGAAAGATATTAGTGAAGCAGCGATAACCTTCAATGCCTATTGCAACAAACAAGATAAGGAAGTTGACATGAACTTCGTCAAAATATGAAAAGAAAAGTCTTGACTTTGGTGCTGTACATTCAAATTGATTTGGTCTGCGCGTGATAAATCTTTGTATTGTGACCCTACAATATGCAAACAAAGTGACATTGACCGTCTTACCTCAATGCAATTTCGGCTCTATAATCCACATTAAGTGTTCGACCATTTTTTTCGCCATTTCATGAATTGAAGCTTTCAAGAGATTTTGACTCTTCGAGCTTTCCGCAACAATTTCTTCTTCATTTAGTTTGACGTGTTTACCCTGACAAAATAATCACAATGAGTAAAAAAGAATATAGTACCTAGTGACGGCTTCCTTATCCAAGCAACTCACCGAAATGCCAACGTCACTTAGTGGCTTCTTGACGGGTTTAAAATCCGTCATCATCTTCGTGAATATTTTCAATTGCGTTTTATAATCATGACTCTGAAAAACAAACATCGCGTTTGCAATATCGTCCTCATCTATAATTCCCCGTTCTAAAGCGAAGGCGGCATAAAAGAACCACGTGTGAGACAGAGAGTTGCCAGTAAAAGTGTTTGCGAAGTGTGATAAGCCATCATATCCATCTTTTTCCATACGATACGCCAGACGTTGGGTCCTTTGGTCATTTAACAAGAACTTCTGCAATTCATCAATAGCCGTTTGTCCACCCACCAATTTTCTGCGTCTACAACTACCTTAACGATTTCATCTTCCGTCAATTCAAACACTTCGAAATGACGAAGTATTAATTCAGCGGGAAAATCTTCGTGCGCTTGTTTCGAATAATACGCGATATACGATAGCCACAAGCTCCCCAACTCGTTCCTGTAGAAGAGGTCTTCCGTTGTTGAGTACCGCATTAAGATCTCCCGAGCTTCATCAACAGTAACTTTTGCTTTGTACCATTGCTTGTGGGCCAATTCACCTAGAGTCGGGTGTCGAAGCATCCCGATGAATACCAGCTCGCCATAATTGTCCTTTAAAATGTGAAGTTGCCAAATCAAAGGAAGCATTTCTTCGAAAAGGCGCCGAATCGAAGAATCATCATCTTGCCCCTCCGCACTTCGTGGTATCATACGTAAAAGCTTAGTCAACTCTTGCTTGAGTGCACTCGCTTCCATGCTCGTCATTAGTTTGACGTTGTTTATTCCGTTGATGTATCCAACACTGGAAAGGTCGTTTCTTGATGCAATACCATCGCGTTTTACACTTGAAAGGCTGTGTTGACCACCGTTCGAAGAAAGTTGTTCCCCATGGACCGCTTCTTTGCCCCGAAGTATGTTCTCAAGCTCCTCCAAACCATTGTCAATATCAGAAACAGAGCTTTCAACCGAAGGTCCCGCTGCTTTCTTGATTTTATCCACACTTACTTCAATCTTATCGAAAACCTTATCTACCGAAGAATCGACTGCGTTTTCCCATTTCTCAATAGCATCGTGAGTCTTAGAGATAAAGCTATCGAACGGCAGCCCCGTTTTGTCTTCAACCTTCACCATACCATTATAAGCACCAGTTAAGACGTGATCAGTCAAACGTTCTGCTGAATTAGAAACCCCCGCAACAGTTTTTTTAATTCATTGATGACATTTTCGAATGAAAACATTCTTTCCTCTGTGTCGCTGGTGTTAATGTCAAGTCTGGACTTTCCAAATCCATTCTGAGTCGGAAATGCATCCTTTAAAGGTGCCGAGGTATTGTGCATCGAGATATTTCGGGGTTCTGGGCCGATTGACCCACGGTCGTTGCCTTGGCCCACAGCCGAATTAAACGTTATGCAAAGGATGATACCAATCAAACACGTGAGTGACGAGAACTTTACGCACGGAGTTACGAGCATTTTTAAGCCAAGGGATCACAATGATTAATGGCTGGAGAATCAGAAGACAAGAAAATGGACAAGAAGGAATGTGTTTTTTGTATATATATTTAATAAGTCTATAAATTAATCAGAGTATTAGCGAATCCGATGTTAAAACTGGTCGGGAGACTGGCAATATTGTGGTTTCAAATCTTCTTAATTTGATTTATAAATTGGATGCTCTACTGTTGAGTTCAAGCTTTGTCTATGTACTAGATCGTATACACTGACTTTTTCAGGACTAACGTAGGGAGCGCAATGCGCTGCAAATTATAGCGATTGAAGCCGACGATATGCGCATTAGAATCATGTTATCGTTTTCTTCATATTACAAAATTAGAATGAGGATGTCAGCTGCTACATATATAATAAGACTTAATAAGCCGTAAAAGGGGACATGATAATATGCAACAAATTACGTTATATATATTTAGTTATATATTCCTAAATACTTTTTGATTTAGAGCAACTGGCATTAAATCACAATTGAATGTATATAAGAAGGGCGGACAGGATTTTATAACGTGATTTTTCAAGATAGTAGAATTAGCTCTAATATATGAGCTTGATATTATATGTAGTTAATATTTCTCTTCATTTGTTTGATATCTGGATGATGTTATGTATAAAATACTATCAGGATAAAATGAGGATAATTTGTAAATTACCCAAATTGTAACAAAGCACTACCATCAAGACACTAGCTCATCGCGCCATACAACCTGCCCGAAACGCATATATAACAGTTATAGATTACTTATCGTATAACTATGCTACGCGTGATAGTTTTAGTCGCTATGATCTACAGCGCCGTACAAGGTGTGCTCCATAGTAATTTTAATATTATTCTTACTTGCTGATATTAGCCAATGTATGACTAGCGCTGGCTACGTCGTGGCCAATGACATAAGCCAGATAAACTGTAGCCATGTCTTTAAGCCAATGAAAGGGTCGGATTTACTTGGTGGGTCTTATGGAAAAAGCTTATTAATCATTTTATACTCGCAATAGGAGCAGTTTAGGCCTGTCAACAAGGCATTCACAATATCTTTTTTGAGCCAGGTCGACCGGCCACAATTGTCACCAGAATTGTTGAAACGACGACATTTAATTGATGTAAAAGACCAGCCAAGTGCCGTGCTCTTTGCAGCCAGATAGTACATGAGGTCCCAATCCTTATCACTCGCTATTCTAACCCGTTCTATTACCAAGCATGAGCTTTGTTATATTCCATAATTCAATGTTTTCTTCAATACTTAAATGTATAACTCGTGTTAAGAAGTAGTGTGCTATACTCTCCATTGCGTCCGGACAAAACTCGTTCACTCTCTTGCTGGTCTACACTGTATGAGCATGAGTTTTTAAACATTATATACTGCTGAAGCTCCAAGTGTGATACAATAATGTTGTTGTGTCAAAATGGAAGAAAATCCATAGTGATTATGAGAGATAGCATCTGGTGGCTTCTCGTGTATCTTATAAATGCTGATCTCATTGGTCCATACAACGTGCTCAAAACGCAATATTAACTCTGATCATAATAGTATATAGCCTGACTGACTAATATTCATTTTGTAATGCTTGTAAAACTACTATTTTAATGAACTTCAATCAATCGAAAAGCATGTTAATTACGAAACTGTTATAATGACATGTTTATTCCACTTTGTGTGCACAAGGTCTTCACCAGCCACTCATCCGACGATGCCGTCGTCCACTTTCTTTCCACGTCGCCTCCAAAGCCTGCGTTTTCCCGACTGCCGGCTCTTGTGCCAGCGTCGACAAAACGAGCTATAAACTGATAGACGCAACCCCTACTACCGTCAACTCTCCCCCTGAAGCTGCTGCTGCTTTGAACGACGGGTCGATGCACACACTCTCCCGTCTATGCTGCTTCGCCTCCAGATGCCTACACATGTCCGACGATGGCGGACATGTACGGCAGCATGAAGCGATTCGACGCGATATCGCAGAGTTTGAAGCTACGTGTTGTCGTGTGGAGACCCGAAGCCTCGCGCTTGCGATATCGAAGCGATCAAATGCCAGTACGCCGCTTGTAACGGGGTTACACATACCCTGGTAACAGAGGTGTGTGTCACATGAGTAGTGCATGGTGTGACCACATCCAAACATGAATATGGTACGGGATTGGACTATACATATTATGGAAAATCTATGCATTTGAAATTAGTCGGCTTTGCCGCAGATAAAAATAAATAAAGTCAGTTTTTGGATTTAGACAAAAGCGTTAATTAACCTTGAGTTAAGGTAGTAATTACTCTTGGGTTAAGCGGATTGCGATCCGCTAAACTCGTACTTGTTCTAAGTATAGAACAAAAGGTCGG